CCCACCCTAAGCCCCACCCCCGCCACTCCAGCCCTGTCTGGTCAAGGAGAACAACTTTGACTGGCAGCTGTGTGCCTTTAAGTTTCAGTTCTGCTTTGACTTAGGACCCAGGAACCACTCAGGCACAGAGGGCTGGTGTTTGTGTTAAGAGAATTGAAATGCTGCCAAACAAGCTGCCCTTCCTAGAGGGAGGCGGCTACATGGGGGGTGGGGTGGTGAGTAGAATGTTCAGAGAGGGAGAGAGGGAAAGTGGCTTGGCCACCGGGAAGTCAGAAGTTTCCTCCAATCAAAGACTTGGGAACAGAGTGAGGGGAGAGAACAAAACCCTAATTTAACCCCTAGTGTGTTGCCTCCCTCCCAAATCCATGCTTCTGTCAAAAATTGCTTCATTTAAAGAAGCCACGACCACACACACACTGAAAATGAGACACATTTGGAGACCGTCAACTCCACTTGGCCAGAAGTTACTTCTCTTGGATGAAGTCTACTCTCCTTGGCGTCCCCTGACTCCTGCCTACAGATGCAGATGCATGTCTGAGAAGCAGATTCATGAGGAAGAATTGTGTTGGGACGATTTCCTACCATGCCAGTCAAATATATCCCCCTCAGCTGAGCTCAGAGCTAAACCCCAAACCAGCTCTGCGGGCATTTGGCAGCTGACGGTACCCAAACAAGAAGCATGTGATGGACATGTTTCCTCACCAGGCTTATCTGTGAGCCAGACACCTGCCACTAACTATCCTGCGAAAAGTATCCAATTTCTTGTCTGAAATATACATGAGCTTAGTCTTGTCAAAGCTTAGACTTATGCAAGTCTTAAACATCTTATGAAGTGTGAACTGCTAGGCACATAAACTTTTTTGGATTTCCACTTCATTGTGCTTGGACAGTGGTGATATGTCTACTCGCCTTTATTGCCCTAAGGGAAAAGTAAAATCAGATATGTTTGTTAGGATGGGAAGCAGCCAATTGTAGAAGAAACATGGAATCCCATTTTAAAACCCAGGACAGCCCCCCCATACACACACCCCGCAATAAATAACATAATAAGTGCAAATGCTAGAGGCTCCTGCTCTGTCATAGTCACATTTCTGGGAAGATTGTGCTGGACACTTCCTCTTGTGTACCCTGAGTCTTCTGTCAGCAAAACGAAAGTCTGAGGAGTAGGGAATCACCTGAAATTAGGACCAGCTTGGGGCAGGGGCAGCCCTGTGCATGTTCTTGCTGATGGCCAGCACCCTACAACAGAAGAGGCGTTGGGGTGGGGCTTGGCTCATACCGTTTATTCCATAGGCCTCTCTTTGTCTCAATTCATCCCTGGGGCCATGCACAAGGAAGTAGGCCCTACCAACATACTAACATACACATGTGCCTTTGCTCTTCCATGTGCAACTTAAGGAGCGTTGACATATTTCCATTGTTTAGCATTGTCATATTCTTTTTTGTCATATTTTAAATTTTTATTTTATTTTTTTAACAGAGAATCCATTCACCTAGTTCAAAACTCAAATGATATTAAAAATATATATTTAGAAGTCTTGTTGCCACCACTGTGGTTTCCCACCACCCCCTATGTAGCCAGTTTTAATTAGTTTTTAATACATTCTTTCAGTGCTTCTTTAGCATATGCTAATTTGTTCTTTCATTCAATACTTATTTACTGAGCACCTACTGTGTTCTAAGCTACTATATTTTAGGTACTGTTTTGGGGATGCATCCTTACTGTCATCGAGCAAAAATCGTTACCCTCATAGAGTTTATCATCTAGAAGGGAATAGACAGGCAATAAACAATAGACATAAGAAATAACAAAATAATAGAGTAAGGAGGATGGTGCTGTAGAGGTTTGAAGGGGGCACAAAGCAACTTTAAATAGGATGGTCAGGGTAGACTTCACTGAGAAAGTGACATTTTGAACAAAGTTTGAAGAAGGGGAGGGAATTAGGTGTCTGGGTGTCTGGAGGAGGCGAATTCCAGATAGAAGAACATCCATACAAAGGCCCTAAGCAGAGGATGCCTATCATATTTATGGAATAGCAAAGACCTAAGTGGGGCTGGAATGGAGAGAGTGAGGGAGAGCAGTAGAGGAGGAAGTCAGAGAAGAAGGTCTTGTGAAAGAAAGACAGATCGTGCAGGGCTTTGCAAGAAATTTAGTGTTTACTCTGAATGTAATGGGGAGCATGTCACAGATTTTGAGTGATATGATCTGACTTGTACTTTAATACGATCTCTCTGGCTGCTGTGTTGAGAGTGGACAGCGAAGGAAGAAAGGGTGGGAGAAGGGAGAGGCTGGCTTGGAGGCTATTGCAATAATCCAAGCAAGAGGAATTGTGACTCAAAAAGGGTTGGGAGCAGTGGAAATATTAAGTGGTCAGATTCTGGGCATATTTTTGAAGTAGTCACAAATGGATTGTGTATTGGGTGTGGAAGAAAGAGAAGACTCTATGATAACGCCAAGATTTTTGACCTGAGCAAATGGGAAAATAGAATGACCATCAGCTGAGATGGCAAGTTAGGGAGGGAAAATCAGGAGTTTAAAGAAGTGTGAAATGCCTTTTAGACATCCAAGAAGAAATGCCACGTGGCTATGAAATCTAAATTTGAGGGTTGTCACCATATGGATGTTATTTGGCCATGAGATAACTAAGGGGATGGGTGTAGATTAAAAAGGAGGTGGCCCAAGGGCCGAGTCCTAGGACACCCTAATGTTAAGAGCTGGGAGTGTGGAGGGGAACAGGAGAACCAGCAAAAGGGGCCTTGAAGGAACAAACAGTGAGACAGCGGAAAAGGAGGGCACAGTGGAGTCCTGGGGTCTAGCAATGGCAATTTCTCAAGCAGAAGGAAGTGACAAATTGTGTGAAATGTTGCTTGCAGTCAAGTAAAACCACTGGCGTTAACCATGGTGAGAGCACACGGTGGGGTTGGTCACGTTGATGTTTATGACAAAATCAGTTTTAGGAGAGTGGTGGAGTAGTAGGCTGGGTGAGTGGGTTTAAGAAGGTTTTGAGAGACGTCACAAACAGTAATTGTAGACATCTCTTTCTGAGAGTTTTGTTAAAAAGGGAGCAAATAAATGAGATAATAGCTGACCGAGAAAGTGAGGTCAAGAGAAGGGTTTCTTTGAGATTGGAAAAATAATGTGTGTTATTTTGAATGATTGAGGAAAGAGAGGAGAATTGATGATATTGGAGAATGCTGAATTTTTGGAGCAATGACCTTGAATAGGCTTGAGGGGATATCCTCAGTCTTCATTATATTTATCGTGTCTTTCTTTTAAAAGATAGCCTTTTATATCCACTCTTCTGCACACTGAATTTTTTACGTAACCATCTATGTTTCTTTTCATATCAGTACATGGAGAAGGTCCTCTCTTTTTGGCGGCTGCATACTATTTCACTGGAAGGATGTGAAACAACAGTTAAGTTTTTGCTGTCCCAAACAATGCTGCTCTGGATAACTGTGTATATGCCTTATCTCATATGTGTCAGCCCTGTTGCTGCTTCAATCCAGGAGCTAAACTTTATGGTCTGTCATTTCTCAACATTTCTAATCTGTGACTTTCTTCTCTCTTTTGGATTTCCTTCCCTTTTTTTTTTTAATTCTACATTGAAATTAATTTTGCCTGTAACACCAGGAATGTACTTAAACAGATACATGTAATAGCTCTTCATTTATTTCCGATAGTTGTTGTGTTAGGCCAAAATAATTGTTCAGATACATATAGGAACTTAGTGAAAATAGATATTGTGCAGGATCAATAATAACATTTGATTCAGGATTTTTAGTTTTGGTAATGGAATATTGTTCACTGTCTTCAGAGATGATTTCCCAAATCTTTTCATTAGGAATCTTGTTAGAAATCTTTCTTATTCCCATGTTCCAGAGGATCCTGTGTCCTCACCCACCTCCTCGCCCCCCCCCATCCCACCTCACCTGCTAGCTTTTGTGTGTTTGTGTTCAGTGCGGTCTCAGAGAGCTGCTCCATTTCATAGTCATTGATGTGTTCGGTGTTTCATGATACTAGTGTTGGTATGTTTCTCCCCCTAGACCTTTGGAAACACCAAGTCATGAAAGAAAACTTTTCAGTTGTCGACCACAAATAGTTGAAAATTTTATACAAAGATTGATGGAGTATTTCCAGCACGGTGGACTGGGGGTATGTTATTAAAAGTTAGTCATTCTGGAGTGTTTATTTGTTTGTTTCTTAACATACACCCAAATAAGGAAGACTTTCCCCTAACACGTCTCCTAATGCTTCCCTCACTCCTGCACAATGAAGATATGAATGAACACTGAGGCAGAGCTCAGAGTAGTAATCACTTGTTACCATTTTAATTTTGGAAAAAGACTGATCTCTAATAAAGATGGGAGAGGAATGTTGGCTAATTTCAGATTTGGCCAATTTTTTAAAGTAAACGGAATTAGTTTATGAGTGAGTTATTTCTAGCAACATTTCCTATTGTTGATTTTTTTTAGTATAGAATATTTAAAAGAGAGAAACCAAAATAGCCTATAATACAACTACCTACAAAACGTTTTTTAAATGCACACTATGAAAAAAAAACTTAACAGCTCAGAAAAGTAACATTTTCACCCCTCCTCCACTCCACCATCCCAGTTTCCTCTCCACAAAGCAAACCAGTATCAACAGCTTTTTCTGTATATACACATTTGAATCCATAAAAACTCTCTATAATACAACACGTATACACACAGTTCTCAGAGTTTTGAACTGTTTACTCTTGATAGGACGTGCCTTTCTAAATCAAAGGCATCCACTGAAAAGGCAGGAGTGCATGTGGATATTTGGCCATAACAGAGCTTTCGGGGTCATTAACAAATTAAGCATAAATGCATTAGGTAAATATGAATCCAGTTTCCTTTGAAATGCAGCCATTTTTAACAAAAAACCTGACTTACCAAAATGTGCTCAATTTTTAAATTTTTTAAATGACAATGTTTTCTCCAAATTTACATTTTTCTGAGCTCTTCCAACAATCCCCATAATCTTATAATCACTTCAGCTATTAATCTATTAATTATGAGGTAGAGGATTCACAAGTGTGGTTGGGGATAAATTTTTCCTGAGAACTTGATGATTTTACATGCATTTACTTTAGGCTTTCCAGTGTATCCAGCTGTGGTACTGTGTATTCTGATGAGGGGTGAAGTGGTTCCTTTTGGGTCCCTGCTCAGAGGTTCTCAGCCACAGGCACAGAGGTGATTAGGGTGGAGCATGCTCAGAAAAATGTTTGAATACAAAAATTCTGTGGCTGTTCTTAAAAAGAAAGGAAATTCTGACACATGTTTCATTGTGACAAAACTTGAAGACATTATACTAAGTGAAATAAGCCAGTCACAAAAGCACAAATGCTGCATGATTCCGCTTATACAGGGATCTAAGAGGAGTCAGAGTCATCGAGACAGGAAGTAGAATGGTGGTTGTCAGCGGCTGGGGGAGGGGAGAGGAATAGGGAGTTAGTGTTTAGTAGGTACACAGTTTCGGTTTTGCAAGATGAAGCGTTCTAGAGATTGATTGTATGACAATGTGAATGCACTTGAAGTCACTGAACTGTACACTTAAAAATGGCTAAAATGGCAGAGTTTACATTATGTATATTTTACCACAATAAAAACAAAGTTTGTGGCTCAAAATGTGCTCAGCCCCTATCTACATACTTCACTCCAACACTGAAGGCAGGATCTTCTAGGAAAGAAATGTGCAAGTGAAGGAGACAGGACAAACCCACATCAGGCAGAACTGAAGTTCAGGGCTCACTCAACAGGGTGGTATCAGCCTGCTGGTGTCTTGGAATAACAGAACGCCAGGATGTTAGGTCCCTCCAAAGTCTGTGCCTGGTGGGCTTCTAGCCTCTTCTGGGTCATCTGCAGTGACAGGGAACTCACTCCCTTCCAAACCGTTCCCCTACCCCCATTCCTAACAGCTTTTGTTTCAGGCAGCTCTGACTGAGCTAGATTTGGCCTCCCCACCATTTCCATCATAGATCCTAGTTCTGTCCCTGGGACACCACAAATCATGGTTCTGACCCTTCACAACAAGTCTTTAGACACCTGAGGGCAGGTCAGTCAGAGAAGCTCGGTTAACACCACCGCTATCATGTGTGAAGGCTCTGTGAAGTTAAAACGTAGGGCCTGCTCTAGGAGGACAAACCCAAACCGGTGCCCCTCTGGGTGGTGGCTTGCAAATCATTACTCCTTCCTCCAGAAGGATACAGCCCTGTGCCAGAGCACATGAACTGGAAAATGGAGCAGGCGCTGGCCCTCCCCTCTCTCACCTGGGTGCCTCTGTGCAGAGCACAGACTGCACAGCGTACACTGAGGACCTGAACCCAGCCTTCTCTTCTGCAGACTAACCCACCTTCACTGCCTTCAGTCACGTTACACCCACACCATCCTGGCCAGTCTCCTCTAAATTCAAGGTTATCTGGCCAGCAAAGACTGCCCTTGTCCTGGGTGTTGTGCTTGATTAATGCCTATAAGGGTGTCTGGTTTTGGCAGCCACGTCAGGCTGACTCATTAGGCTAAAAGTCACCTGAAGCCCACACGTTGCCGTCAGGCATCCTGCCGCTGTCATTATTCCTGTTCAGTTGGATCCACTCTTTGAACTTCTTGAAATCTTTAAAAATCTGGATTTCTATCATCCAGCGTGCTCTCTCTCCCTCCCAGGTTCATGTCAGACTGCTCTTGATATCCTCTTTCAAGTCATTAATAACAGTGTCTCACAAGACAGGCCCCCGGCCCTGAGCTACCCACTCTGGGTCCCCTCCAGGCTGACCAGATGTTTTGGACAGAGTCTTTCAGTGGCCAGAAGCCTGTCCAGCTGTACTGCTCTCCATTTGTCCAAGGACCTCAGGAGAAAGCTTCTCAGATGTCCTGCTGAAATCCAAACATCCTGCATCTGCTGTGTTTCCTGAGGTTAATCTGGCCTGATATTTCTTGAACCCATGTTAGCTTCTAGTGACCTTTGCTTCCTTCCCCAAATTCTAGAAATCAACCTTTCAAATCAGTTCTAACATCTTGCCCAAATTTTATACCAAACACACTGGCCTGAAGTTAGAGACTGACCTTTAGAACTATAAGTCTATTTTGTGGGTTCCAGAACCATTTCCATTCATATGCCAAGAGTCATTCACTCATTCAGCAAGTGTTTAGAGAATTCCTTTTTTTTTTTCAGGTACTTTATTAGAGATATAAAAGCAAAAGTTACAGTCTGTGCCCCCACAGAGCTTACGGAAACAGGTGAAACTAATGCCAGCAATGTCAGGAAAAGTCACTTCACATTAAGTGCTCTGATAAAGGCACACACAGAGCGCTATGTGAGCTCAGAGAAGGGGGACACAGCCCAGCTAGGGGGTGGGGCAAGAAGTAGTCAGGGAAGACTTCCTGGAGGAGGTGTTGTTTGGACCAAGTCTTGAAGCACAAGAAGAGGGGCCAGGAAGAGAAGGTAGAGCATTCTAGGAAGGGAGTATAGCAGAATTCAGAGGAGGACATTGGAAGGGTGGGCGGGGCCTGATTCTGAATGGCTTTGTGCACAATCCTTAGGCGTTTGGATTTTATCCCAGAATCAGTTGGAAGTCACTGAAGCATTTTGTCAGCAGAAGTGGGTTTTAGAAACATCAAAACACCTGTGTGTGCCTGATGTTAGAGAAATTGTCAGGAGGGTCTCCCAGATGAAGCACACTGCAAAAGAGCCATTTGTTCCCAGCAGGGCCAGACTTTTGATATAATAAGGCCTGGCCCCTGCCATGCTTCACCTCAGGCTGGCTCCCCAGAAGAAACCATGGGGCAATCTGGCGAGCTTCCAGCTAGTGCCATCCGTCATGGTTCAGGTTCAAGTGTTGGCGAAAGAATCAGCCCACTGGAGGGCAGTGGGCCAACAGCCTTCACTCTGTGGTTCTTATGGAACCCAGGGGCCCCTTTGGAGGAGAAGCTGGGAGATGAAGCCTCTTCCTGCTGCATTTTGACACAGAGCTGACATTTAATGCTCTAGGAGGCTGCAGTGGGTTACAGAACAGCTTTTAAAAAACAAATTGCTCTGAGAGCTCATAAAAGGATTGTGCCAACAGAAGCCACTGGGCTGTAGTCCCACAACAAATCCTCCTCAGGTGCCTCCAAATGCTGCTTCCGGAAGGCCGAGTAGAGTGTGCAGAACCAAAGTTCACCTGGAGAGAGGGATTGCTGGGAGCATGGGAGTCTCCCTGTACCTCTTGGTCACCTGTCAGTCATAGCTTCTTGTCTGCCCCACCTTAGGCATACTCTCCACGCCCCCAGTGCAGATGCTCTGGCTGGGCCCTTACCCCCTGTCCCTGCCTCACACTCATCCACTTGTGTGTATCCCATTGAGCTAATCTCCTGAGGCTTCAGCAAAGCCAGGGAGGGAAGGAAGCAACATAACTTCTTTGGCCTCTGGAGACGCTCAAGGCAAGTCCTGGCCGTTCCTGGCTCCTTAGTGTAACAGACTCACCCAAAGTTTCCTCCTCCTTGCTGGGTAAACTATCATGCTGGCTAAGGGGGTGGCAGAGAGCCAACTGTGATTCAAGCCTGCATTTCTGTTTGTTTGGGGTCCTATATCTGCAGTGGCTATGGTGACGTTAACTGGAGAAGCGATTGCCCTGCTAAAGAGCTGTTGGAGGCCTGTTGGCATGCTCAAGACAGGCGCTGCTGGCCAACACAGTGAGGGCTGAGTCCCTGTGGCTGACTCCAGGCCCTGGGCCCAGCTCACCTGGATGAGGTCACGGGCCACACTTTGCTGGCCTCAAATGTGGTCTCATGACTTCTCAAGGCTGAAGGCTTCCTCACCATACTCAGTCCGGTTATTCTTTCCTTTGTCAGTACGACATTCATGTAGCCTTGGCCCTTTCACCGTAAGGAAGTCAAGGTCCCGAGGACGGCATGCCGGCTTCCTTTGCAGTGGTGTCAGCTGCTAACGCTGGCTGTCCTACTGCTCACTTTCCAGGGGCAGGATGGATTGCCTTCACCTCCACTCCACAAAGGGGCCCCTCGAAGAGGCCCTAGAGAGTGAGTGCAGGAGACTGAGTGCCTTCCCCTGCCTCCTGCTCATAAAATCCCCACGAGCAGAGGTTCTCATCTGCTGTTTCCATTCCGCATATCATGCGTGCATCCCACCAAGCTGCTGCGGCTGACGGCCTTTACACAGCCTTACTATCTTTTAATTAATGTACACATTTTATTTATATGTACATTTTTACATATAACTATTGTAATTCTATAAGCTTTTGCGATTACATTAGAAAATCGTAATGTGATACGTTAGAAAATACACTCATTCTATTACCCTCATTGATTAACACTGCATTATTTTGGCATATTTCCTTCCAAACTTTATAACTTTTTTTCCGTTCATGTAGTTTTTTTTTAAACAAAATAAGATTATTGTATATGCCCTTTTTTTAGTGTATTATTCCCCTTGACTACATGTTATAAATATGTATCTTAGGTCCGGCCAAGTGGCACGTTGGTTAAGAACTGGCTTGGGATGCCAGAGGGCCCTGGTTCAGATCCCACATATGAGGGCCAGTGACACTGCCCTCCACAGCTAAGATGCTGAACAACAGCTCAACCTGGAGCTGGGCTGCCGTGAGTCACCGGCGATGGCGTAGGCTGCAGCCCCTGTGGCAGTGGGTTGCCATGGGCTATCGTGTGTAGCCAGCAGCCAGCATGAGCGGCCGGCAGCTGCTGTGAGCAACCATCCAGAAGCCGGCAACTGATCTGCCTCGCCCGGGAAGAGCGCAATGATGGTGCCAACTTGGGCCAGTGAAGCAACGTCCTCCACAACTAGACTGAAGAACAAAAGGACAGCAACTTGTCTGTTCCCCTTCCCCCAATTCCCCACCGCTGTCCCCATCCCCCCAATTCCCCAATTTAAAAAAAATATTAATATATATATATATATATATATATATATATATATATGCTTCTTAGTCAATAAATGTATGTCCACAGCATGATTTTGGTGGCTATTTAGCATTGCATCATATAGATGGGTAAGATGGATTCAACCTGTTTTCCATTATTAGGCACTTCGATTGTTTCCATTTTTCTTTTCTATTCCAAAGGCTATTATAAAGAACATCTGTTTACATACATTTTTGTGTATTACTTTTTATTATTCCTTAAAGATAAATTCCTAGAAGAGGAGTTACTGGGTCAAAGGGCATGAACACTTTAAAATCTTTTCCTAGATACTGCTAGCCTGCCCTCCAGAATACCTCCTGTCAGCAGTGGTGAGCAAGCCACTTCCCTCCATCAGAACTGGGATTTATCACTAACGGCCGCCTCTGCCAGTTTGCCTCCATAGCTTACCTTGGTAAAGCCTACCTGGGCTTTCTCTGGAGGTCAGTGGGAGCACTGAGGTTGCACTGGTAGGACAGTGTCCTGTGCCTCGCCTGGACAATCGGATCAGAGCCAGGGGAACTACCCCAGGCTGGAAGGACTGCCTAGCTTCTAGGGAAGACCGCCAGTGAGCCTGGAGCCCTCCTGGCCCTGGAAGTGTTACAGGTGAAGTCCACGTAAACGTGCAGGCTGGGCCCCATGAGACCCTCAGATCCACACACAGACACACTCACTGACACACAGAGGGACATACACAGACACATAGAGGCATATATAGATACAGATAGAGAAATACACAGAAGGACACAGACACACATGCAGACATTGTCCACAAATGCGCACACTCACTGATATAGACACAGAGACGCAGAGTACCCATGTGAGTCTAGGTACTCACATAGACCTGCAGGCCCTAGTCAGGTATATTTGTTCAACCATCCACATGCTGGCTCCCATTTCTCTCCAGAGCCCAAATCTAAGCCTACGTAGAGAGGTACACGTTGCCTCTGTTCCTTAAAGGCCACCTCTTCAAAAAAAGTGCCCAGTCCCCTGGAGACAGGGAGGGAATGGGGCTGCTTAGAGAGTGAGCAGTACGGCCCTTCAACCAGAGCAAGAGGGGCCCCTGCTGGATGCCCATACTTCAGAGGGCCCTCAGGCTTTGCTCCAGCCCCACCCTTCCCCACAGGGTGAGAAATCCATACAGTCAAGGGGACACGCACACTCAGATGCCCGGCCTTCCTTCTAGACCACCCTCAAGGTCCTGGGACCCTGGAATTCCCTGAGTCCAGGGCCTCCTCATCAGCTCATCCTCCCTAGAGGGTGAGTGGTCCAGGGCAGCTGTGTAAGGGTGTGGGCGGCTGGGATGTCTGCTTACATGCATGCAAGGACCCGCCACAGTACGTACGATGTGAGGCCAGAGAGGGGGAGGGATGGGAGTCATGCGGTGAGCTGTGGGTGGGGGCCATCTCTCCCTCAAGTCACACATTTCAGCATAGAACTCAGAGTAGTCCAAGAATGAGAAATTCAAACTTTGCCTTCCAAGTCATTTTCGAAAGTCTGTTTTTCAAAGTAGGAGAATTAAAAAATGTAATAGTTTGTTCGTTTGCTTTATAACCTTTAAATATTTAGAATATTTAGACATAAGGTATGTGGGCCTCCATTTTATACTCTTGTCCCTGGTCCTGCAAATGTGAAGAGCAGACCTGAAAGAGAGGCTTGCGAGGCTAGAGCTGATGTTTTTCTGTGGAGGAGAAATGGAAACGGGTCTGTGAGCCCAGGCGATGTGTGCCGTGAATCCTGGCACGGTGAGGCTGCCCGGCTGGGGCTGCTGGAATGATGGTGCCCTTTCCTTTTCAGATCACTTTCAGGAAAGACCATCTCGAGGCCTACCTCCTTTCCCTGGGCTGTGATGCGATAGCAAGAGAACGCAGCAACTTCAAGAGCTATTCCATGTATTATGAGCACATGTTGGAGCATGCTAGGCAGAAACTCTGTTCAGAAGGAGCAATTAATGTTCCCAGAGGCCAGAACTGCGATGGGGAAGGTGTGGGTAGGGAGTCACTCTGAAGAGGAAAATAAAAGAAAGAAAAGAAAAGAGAAAAAACAAGTTGGGGTGGAGGGTGTGTTCTTATGTAAGACCTGAGGGTGAATGGTACTCTCTGAATTTCTCTTCTCATTGGCTCATTTTCTTGGGCTGGTATTCTAAGCCACAAAGGTGATGGCCTCAGCAACACTGGGTTGTGAGCTTTAGAGGCATCTGGTGGGGAATATAAGAGGCAAGCGGCAAAGGAGTTGGCCCCCCAGGGAGGATGCATAGCTGAGGTTCCCACCCTCAGCAAACACAGGGCACTTCATGCTGTTCCTGGTGTAGCAAAGAAGCCAGGCTCCTTGAGTAACCTGTCCTCAGGATGTCCATCATGGGTCTCCCTGATGAGACTTCCTTAAAATGAGACCCCACAGGTAGGATCCAAGCGTCAGTTCTCCTATCCTAGATTGCACACTGTTTGAAATGGATTGCATCAGAGGTTCAGTGTCATTTTAGTGTATACCTAAGAAAAGTGCAAAGGCCTGAAAAAAATCAAATGAAGCATTAAAATATCAAATAATGAGTCTTGGCTTCGCCCGCAGTTTAGCAGTCCCCACAGCTGAGTACTGTGCCTCAGTGTGGCTACCTGGAGGTTGATGCTGTCTTTTGATGCTAAGTTGGGCATCCAAAAGCGCAGTCCTGGCTCCGAGTGGAGCCCAACGATCAAAACGAAGCTCCATGAACACAAATAGGAAGCATCTGGAGCATGTTGACTGAATTGAGCCGTGATTGGAAGAAAAAATGTTTGACTTGGGTCAGGCACTGCTTTCTTCTCTTCGGGAATTAGCTATTTTATCAAGAGGTCAGAGGTCACCTGAAGACTATGCTGGTCAGGTAGGTCAGTCATTACATACCATCAACGAAAGCCCACTGAAGAAACACCCAAGGACTGTGCTTTCATTTTTTTTTTTTAGATTGGGGAATTGGGGGAGGGTAACAGTGTTGGGGAATTGGGGAAGGGGACCAGCCAAGTTGTTCTTCAGTCTTCATTGTGGAGGGCGCCGTCGCCCTCTGGCTGCCCATCGGCAGCTTGTGGCCTCTAAGCTCAAGGTGCTGTGTTCAATCTTAGTTGCCGGTGGGCATAGCCACCATCCCATGCAGGAGTCGAACCAGTAGCCTTGTTGTTAAGAGCGCACACTCTATCTACTGAGCCATCCGGGTGGCAGATCAGCTCAAGATGCCGAGTTCAGTCTTAATTGCGGGTGGGCATAGCCCACCATCAAACAGGCAATCTTGTTACACCAGCTGAGCCATCCTGCCACCTGTTGGCAGCTCAGTGGCAGCTCAGCTTGGGCGCAGCGTCACTGGCCTATGTGGGAATCGAACCTGCAGCCTGTTGCTCAGAGCTCACGTTCTTAAACCAACTCTTAACTAGCTGAGCTACTCGCTGGTCCTGTGCTTTCACTTTTGAAGTAATGAGGGCTTTTGTTTGTTTGTTTTTGGTGGTTTTTGTTATTTGTTGCTTTGTTTTTTACTTTTGTTATTTTTGGGGTGGGGGGGGGTTGTTTGTTTTATCCTGAGGCCAGTTAAAGTGCATTCCAAAGAAGAAAAGGTAATTTAGGATGAAATGTCAAGGAAAGGCCAGTTTGGAGATGGAGGCCTAGATAATTGAAGTATTTTCTCCAAATGAAAAGTGCTTAAGTAGTGTCTCTTCCGGGCCATTCATTCAGCAACCATTTATTGAGCACCTACTATGTGTCTGGCACTTCTGGTACCCTTAAACCAACCTGGATTTGCACAACAGAAATTTGCCTTCTCCGTTAGGTTCAAAGTACAAGTGCAAATTGTAACAGCAGTTTGAAATTCCTGGACTATCTTCCCTTAAAATAATATCTATTTCTGCCACTAGGTTGCTGAGCTTAGTCATAATATGATCCTTGAAATCACTGCTCTGGGAGCTCGACTCACAGATTTGGAAGAGGAGAATCTGAGTCTCAAAAATCAGATCAGAAAAGAAGTCCCAGAGGAATATGAAGCCTTAGTCCAAGCTCTGTTTATGACATGTTTACACATGAAAGTAAGTGGTATCAGGGCAGTCTTGAGCATGTGTGACTGATCCCCACAGCAGCTGCACACAGAGAGACCAATGACAGAATGGCCTTTGTGGTCACAGGAGATTGTTGGAATCAAGAATTCTCCTCCAGCTCTAAGCTTTCTCTACAGAGAGTGAGTCGACAATGTGTTGTCATTATTTCACCATGATAGACACTGAATTTTAGATAAGTTAGATATAGTTTGTCACTATTTTGTCTATTGAGTGTGGCCATCCAGGAGAGGACTGTGCCCTGGGACAGACCCCAGTGTAGGTGGCAACAGGTACCTCCTGAAAGCTCCAGATTCAGAATTTGAATCAGCTTTCAGAAATTTTTCCAACCCTCAAAATGCCCACCGGCCTTTCTCTAACATTCAGTGTCAAGGAGCTGCTGACCTGTCAATGAAGGCCAGTCTAGAAGAAGAGTGATGGGGTGCCCATGTGCTCACAGCACTGTGGAAGCCTGTCACTTCCATATGATGTCTGAGCAGCTGTAAGATGGATTCCCCCTTGCCCACAATGGGCCATCACAGGGCCTGGGCCAGTTGTCCCACAACCGTGAATTTCAGGTCTAACCCACCACCCTCCAGTCCATTGGCCCCTTCCCTACGGTTGGATGTTCCTCAGAGCCAGCCGTAGCTGGGTCCTTACTCCTATCTCTCCCGGGAATTTCAGGGTGGTTCTGGGGTTATTGCACTGCGAGGAGCTTCTCTGCCTTGGCTTCGTCATTCCAGAAAGGACTAGAGATTTCTTCTTACTTGTAAAGGGCTCACACAGTACAAGTGCTTAAAAATATTAAAGGATCAAAGCCAAAAAGCCTTGGGCCTGGTGCTGCAGGAGACAGTGAAGGCTGGAATCTGCTCAGCCATGTTTCCAGGGTGAAATTGTTGAAAATGTCTTCAGCTTTTTAGCTTCCGCCAGATTCCTAGACAAGAAGTGGATGCTCTACTTCCCCCAGTGTGACCAGCCAACTGAGCAGCACCCCCACCACTGAGAAAGTTTTAAGTGTTCTTGCCTATAAAAATGTTAAGTATAGAAATGTTAAGTCTCCTCCCTAGTTTCTTAGTTTCTTAGCCCCTGGTTTGATTACTCTTCTCATCAGTCTGTGAATCGTAGGCTAAAGATTGTTCCTAGCCTGAATCCTAGAATTCTCCTATCCCCTGCTTCTTGATTGCTTTGTAAATCAGTTTCTGAATCCTAAACAATAGAAGTCTCCTACCCCTGCTTCAGATAACTACTTGGAAGCCTGTGACTTCCTAATATCCCCCAGGCCAGTAGACTAAACGCCAAACCTGTTCTGGGCCCAGACAATTGACGCCACCTGAGTGACGGGTTGAATGGCCACAGGCTTCATGAGAGCTAACAGATTTCTTAATGAAAATCTACTTATCCTCTTTCAGGGACCTTGGGGATACAGATGACACCCCAACAAGATTGCCAGTCACAACCAAAGAAGTCAGCGCAATCTTCCAGGAGGATCTCGAGACCTCTCATCTAAGATCAGCTAGTGTGAGAGTTCTCTGAATCCCCCAATAGGCAGGGACAGCTCTACACCCCTGCCCAGCAGGAATAACATACAGAAGAAAAGACCTCCTGTCCCTGAACTTCCCATAGAGATTTTATGGGGATCATGTCTCTCAAGGGGAAAACAAGACAGGCAGTTAGAGGCAGGCATTGGGTCTGTGCATTCCTGCACGTCCCACAGGACGTGACTGCCCAGTGACCTCCCCTCTGCACCCAAAACTCCCCTTTGTATTGTAATTACCTATCCCTGCGGGAAAATAAATGGGCACAAAATACCCAGCTAGATCAGACCAGTCACTGCATCTGCGCAGTACCTCTTGTCAATCACAGGTGTCAATCAAGTGGTCCCATGCCCTTAGGGGAACAGCCCATTCTAGAGAAAGGGGATAAAAACTCCAAATCCTGGGAAGTCCGCCCTGCTCTTTTTGACTGCTTCTTCCCTGTTTGAACCCCTTCCTCCTTTTTTTGAACCTTTTGAGCCTCTCCTTTGCACTGGCCTGCTCCAAACTCTTTGGAATGTAATTTCTCTTCTAATAATGGGCCCTTGAGCCATTCTCTACTGCTCGGGCCTATTTCTACTTCTTTGAAATGTACTATCTCTTCGAATAAACTACTTTTTCAGTGCTTCACTACGATATCTCGTTCAATTCTTTGCTCGAGTTGCCAATGACCTGGACTTTGCGCCGAGAAGGGCCCACTCTCCGACAACACCAGGCTAAACTAGTTCTACAAGTCCCTCAAAGTTGGGAAAGCCTGCTCTATCCCAGGGTCCTAAGAAGGTGGTGAAGCTTTTGCTGTGTGCCAGCAGCCAGGCTTCCTGCTGTGGCTCCCCAGCTGGGTCCTATCCCCCTGCCTTCCTCTCCAAGGAAGCAGTTCAAAAGCGAGAGGACACCTCACTTTAACCCCTCACCCAAGAACACTGGGTCTCCAGTTGTATTTACCAATGATCAAGTCATTTTACCAGAAGCCTTAGCCACAAGCCATTCAGAATAGGCTGTTTCATAACGAGATTTCTGCTGGAGCCTAACTAGGAAGACAACTAAGCCTGATTCCTTCCTCTGCTTTATCTATTTTTAATGAAGGTCCCTGTTAGTGGCTCATCTACAGTGTTTTTATCAGGGCAGATTCTGTTGAATCAACCTGATAGCCAAAGCCTCTAAGTTTTAATTCCCAAGTCACCATTTGGGGGGTTGGGAGGGCAATTCAGCTTTCCATCTGTGGCCTCCCACGCTTCCACCCACTCGCCTCGCCTGGGTGTCTGACAACCTAGGCAGGCCCTCAGGTGATGAAACCCTGTCTGACAACCTAGGCAGGCCCTCAGGGGATGAAACCCTGTGGACTGAAGGCAACATTTAAAGGGGCCACTCGTGTGACTTCCAGATAATGCCTGATGGAATAATTTTCTGGGTGGGTGGATGGTTTTTTAATGTGAAATCATTTCTGAAAGTTGCATTTTTAGGAAGCAAAATGACTCTTCCTCAACTGCCCTTTCTGAACTTGTCTGCAATTTGCAGGAAAAGCTGGATGAGAATCAGCTCAGTTTGATCCAGAAATTGTGTGAGCTCATCAGCGAAGTGAGAACAGAAGGGATTGATCATATGAAGGACCTAAAGAAACAGTAGGGCTCTGCCATACCTGATGAAGGAACGAAAGAAAACCCAGCCAAAGGATGTGACCTCATTCAGCAATGGCATATCAGCACTTCTTCCTAGTATCTGACCCCACCACTCGCTGTTTGCATTGTAGACTGGTTTCTCTGAGAAAGCATTGCATATTAGGCATTTTAAAAGGGCAGTGGGGCTCATTGCACAATTGTGTCATCTTTTGGAAGGCATGTTTCCGACGTTAGCATTCGTGCCCTTCCAGAGAGAAGTGTTGGGAGCAGCATTTTCTCAAAGTGAGCCTTCTTAGCAGGAGCAGCTGCGAGATTTGGAGCAGGACAACTGCAGCCTGACCGCTCTGGTGTGCAAAGTGAGGAGCCTGGGCTGCCGGAGGCTGGCTGTGCAGCAGGCTCGCTTCCAGGGCCAGCTGAGGGCTGAGAAGGTGAGCACTGGGGCGCTGGGGGAGGGAGGGCCTGGCCCAGGGTTGGTGGGGGCGGGGTATGGGCTGTGGGGTGGCAGTCTGGCCTCTTTGGCTGCAGCTGCTGCTCTGGCGTTGGTGGCAAGACCGACCGTCTTAAAAGATCTGACAGTTGAGAAGTTTTCCTGGGAACAGGTGATGTCAGAGACTTGGGTGAAATAGGAAACAGCCAGAAGCAAATGGAAAAGTAAATGGGAGAACAAATCAGAGAGGTTAGTGCGAGGGAAGGGAAAAGATAGAGGGCTTCTCCAAGAGCTTGAGGTAGCCTCATCAAAATAACGCAAATCTTGGAGTTTCAAACATGATTATCTGAGGAAAATTAAGGAATAAAATAATAAGTAAAAAATCTGCTTTAAAGCAAATCGAAGCACATGGTTACAGTGGTTTGGAAACTTTCACTCGCTGTTTCTGAAAGTCTATTTACTCTGATGTGTCACCCTGTTCTCAACTGAAATCACAGAAGTTTTGTGTCATCAGCAGTTACTGGCTCTAAGGCGGGCCCTGGCCAGCGCCCAGGCTGACAGTGTGAGGATGTGCAAGCAGCAGGGTGGCCAGGTGGCTGGGCCCCAGAACCTCTCTTCCTCCCTGTCTTTTGCGTTCTGCAAAGCTGACTGTGGCAACTAGAAGCAGCCCGTACTGTCTGCGCCAGTCACTGGAGCTCCACAGCGTGAAGCCGAGCAGATGGCACTGCCAGAGAAAGATGGCCTGGACCTCGGCTTCTTCTTTTCCCCCTTTTTTCCAGGAACCACGGGCAGTGGTCAAAGGCTTTTGTTCTTATTCATGTTTGGCTAAGATGGTGAAATGTTACTTATACATAAGATTGTGTGCGTGTGTGTGTGTATGTGTGTGTGTGTGTGTGTCTGAGGATCTTTTCACCCAGAGGGCATCTTGGGGTCTGGGTCTCTGCCTTGAAAGCAGTCTTTCATGCTCCAAGCGTGCTTTCCTTCAACAGCAACCCTCTACATGTGGCGTGTGGCTCGGCTGTCAGCATTATGCCCAAAGCACAGCGTCTTGGATCCTCTCCTGACGACCCCAGCTAAGTCTTAATTTCAGACGTTACTGCTGCTCAGTAGGGGCTGGCACCAAATTAAAGGTGTTTCCACATCTGAGCTCTTAATAATGATGCCAACCCTCTGAGTGCGAAGGAAACAGAGAGATCCTAGGTTTAGAGAGAGAGAAAGGCCAAGTTTAAATAGCAGCCCCGGAAAGCTGGGCATAGTTAAAACATGAAATATAATCTGTTCCTTTTGGATTCAAATTTATCCATCACCATGCACAGGTGATTCTAGTGTGTAATTATGTAAACTGTAAAGTCGCCACATAAATACAGCACATCCTCGCTTATCATCATCGATAGGTCCTGCGACTTGTAGCAAAACAACAGTACAAAAACAATTTGACCACAGGCTAATTCATATAAACAAGAGTTAAGTGTCTACGGCATCTCATCAATGTCATAACAATGTTGAACAAAACGATGTTACTCGAGGACCTGCTATATTAATCATCATTATTATTGGTATTATAATTAAGGATTGACCATCTGGTACTTACGGCGTTGCTGATTAGAAAATTTTCAGGACAAAACTAAATTATGACTACCGTTTCCCTTCTTTTGCCATCTGGAACCTGGATTACCCACAGCTATTTTGGAAACAAGACAACATTAGAACCTCCTTTCCCCACTCATTGCAACTCTTGTATCACCCTGCTCTCTCGTGATAAATGCTCAATGACAATGCAGATGTAGTTTGTGATAGATAGGACTAGTTGGTTAATAAGCTAATTAACATACACGTAATCATCACATTTTAGAATTAAAAGACCAAATTATTTGACCTGGTATTGCTGGATAGCAGCATTACCACTTGCCTGGCTATTGTTAGTTTGTTAGCTTGTTTGTTTTGTTTTCCCTGACTGTTGCCCCAGGGCTTACAGTAAATGCCAGGCTGACCTATGTCCTGGGGGTCTTGCTATTGGCTGGCTGACACAGGACAGAACTACTGGGCTGTATTACCCTGAACCGAGGATTACTCCACACAGTTCTGCCCCTGGACCCTAACAGACAAGCTCTCGTTCCTTCCCTGGTGCTGAGAAGAAAGACTGTGCCTTTCTTGTTTCCTTTGGCTTTTTTCCTGCCACAGGCTCAACTGCTGAAAGAGTTAGAACACAGAGTGACTCAGGAAGCTCTCCACTGGCAGCAGCTGGATTTCCTGAAAACCTCCAGCATGGAGAAGCTCTTGGAAGATGTGGAGCAAAAGGAACAGCAGCTGCAGCAAATTACTGAAGAGGCTGAGCAGGCTTCTAAACTGAGCCAGCTCCAGAGGAAGAAAATTCAGAGAGAAGTGCGACAGGTAACTCCAGTGAGAGGTAGCAGCCACTCGAAAAGCAAATCAGGGTGCACCAGCCATGGTTGTTTCTTCCTTCCCGTCTTTTCTATGCCTCTCATGTCCTCCATGGCAGTGTTCCTCCACCTCTTTCACTTCTAGGCCCACCGGGAAAATGGAAATATTTAAATCCACGCTGGGTGATGCTCAGGCTACTTATGGCGAGAGATGACGGCTAGACTACCTCAAGGTCCAGAATCTTGGCATCATTCTAACCCACTTGAAAAGCGCTATTTCCACCTGGCTCTAATCTGTGAGCTAGGGAATCCTTTAGAAAATTCTGACTAGTAATCTAGAAAAGCAACTAGTGGTATGGAAGCTATGAGAAGGGGATTTTATTTATGGTGTTTCTGGAACTGAAGAGACAAAAAAAAAAAGGCAAAAGTGGTTCTCAGACACAATATAGTTTTGTTAAATATACCTCATAGCAAAAAAGAAAAAAGGAGGAAAAATATAATGTAAATGTGGATTAATGCAAGTTCTAACAAAAGAAGCCACAGAAACGGCACCTTCTAGAGCAGGCACTTCACAGGTATTCATTGAATGAATAAATCAATTAATTCACCAGAGATATTAGGAAAGAGAATTTGAAAAGTTAAATTATTGGACAAGCGTTTCAAGTGCTCAAGGAGAAGATCAGAGAATTCTACAAATAAGAAATTATTTTTTAAAAAGGATAAAAATTGAATTGAGGCAATGGTAGAGAAATATTTTTATAGTAATGGAGAAAAAAATGAGTAGCTTTAAAAGAAAGTTAGAACTTCACATTTATTTCATGAAAAATAAACTAAAATATGATTAAACCCATAAGAAATATTTGGTGTCATATTTGTCCTTCAAATCATGCTTTTCTAAAACCACCACAAAAAGAAGATTCATAAAGTAGTTTCTGAAAGCTCTCTCTAGTTAATTGTTAATTTTTGTTTAATGGCAGAGATTCTAAAAGTAGTCAAAACAAATATTTTGAGGTTTCGCTCAATAAATCAGTGGTTCTCAACCTGTGGGTCGCGACCCCTTGGGGGTTGAACGACCCTTTCACAGGGGTTGCCTAAGACCATCGGAAAACAAAAAGACACTTATATTACGATTCATAACAGTAGCAAAATTACAGTTATAGAGTAGCAACGAAAATCATTTTATGTTTGGGGGTCACCACAACATGAGGAACTGTATTAAGGGGTCGCGGCATTAGGAAGGTTCAGAACCGCTGCAATAAATACATGTTTTTGGTATTTTGTATGTAAAAACAATCATTGGCGGGGCCAGCCGAGTGGCTCAGTTGGTTAAGAGCATTAGTGCTGAGCAACAGGGTCGCCGGTTTGATTCCCACATGGGCCAGTGAGCTGCACCTGAGCTGAGCTGCCGCTGAGCTGCCAACAGGTGGCAGGATGGCTCAGCTGGTGAGAGCATGTGCTCCTAACAACAAGGTTGCCTGTTTGACTCCCACCTGGAATGGTGGGCTGCATCCACCCGCAACTAAGATTGAACACGGGCACCTTGAACTGAGTGGCTGCGTGCTGCCCACGGGCAGCTGGATGGCGACTGGACCTGGAGCTGAGCTAGCTGCACCCTCCACACTAAGGCTGAAGGACAAAACCTTGGCTGTTCCCCTTCCCCAACACTGTTCCCCTTACCCCAATTCCCCAATAAAATCTTTAAAAAACAAAAACAGAAAAACAATCACTGGTTTCTAAACTACCCCTCCAACTCTGCTGGCAGCTCTTGGGCCCTGGGCTTACCCACCCCATATAGCAGTCCACCCTCAGCCAGCAAGAGCCCCCACAGGTAGCAGTGGCTTCTTTAATCCATCTCCAGCCTTGAACTCCAAGGGTGGATTTTGTCCCTCTGATCCTAGAGAGCATGAACAGCCTTGCCCACCTCCTGCTCCTGGGGAGGTCACTTAGAGCATAGGCCCTAGAATTAGGCTGCCTGAGTCACACCCCCAATCCCCCCAGCTGTATGACTTTGGGCAAGGTCTATGGCTTCTCTGTGTTTTAGTTTTCTCAGCACCATGGAGAATAATATACTCACCTCATGGGATTTGGAGGAGCATTAAATTAGGTAATTCAAATGAAGCACTTAGAACAGGGATGGATACACAGCTCTCTATAAATATTGGCTGCATGTCTTTTTGTGAGGAATATGGACGTGGACAACTTTGGGAACAGGTAGATAGACCTGCTTTCAAATCTTGCCTCTCACACTAATTGGTTGTGTGACCTTGGGCAAGTCACTGTACCTACCTCTGTGAAGTGGGGGTGAGGTGGGCTAGCACAAGGTCCTTATTAAGCATATTTCTTTCCTTTGCTAGTATTTTTCAAATTGGTTTAGCCCCTGCCTGGCTGAGGGAGTCTTGATCTGTTTCCCCTGGCTCCTGCCCATAGGGAATGAGGATCCTACACAGATCCCCATGGTACATAGAGAGACCTTGGGCCTACTTTATGTTAGGAAGTTTTCCGAACTCTGGGGATTTGATCATCTGCTGAAAGTCAAGCTACATTTGAAAGCATCCACATGTACAAAGAAACACCCCTTTAACATTTATAAGACAAGCCTGTGCTCACAGCTCTGAGAATTCAGGGGCCTAATTAGGACTAGAGTAGGATTTAAAACACGTGTGGTAGAATTCTTGTGATTAGCATGTGTATTAGTTTTCTATGGCCGCTGTAACAAATTACCACACACTGGGTGGTTTAAAACAACAGAAATTTATTCTCCCACAGCTCAGGAGGCCAGAAGTCTGAAACCAAGGTGCTGGTTCCTTCAGAAGGCTCTGAGGAAGCATCTGCGCCATGCGTCTCTCCTAGCTTCTGTGGTTGCCAGCAATCCTTGGCATTCCTTGCCATGTAGCTACCTCACTCCAATCTCTGCCTTTCTTGTCACATGGCCTTCAGCCTCACATGTCCCTCTGCTCTTATAAGGACACCAGTCATGGGATTTAGGGCCCACCCTTAATTCAGCATGACTTCATCTTAATTAAATTACATCTGCAAAGACTTTCCAATAAGGTCACATTTGGAAGTTCCCGGTGGACATGAATTTTCAGGAGACACTATTCAACCCACTAAACTATTATTACTTTTTTTATAATTAAAAAATTTAGGGGCCGGCCGAGTGGCTCAGTTGGTTAAAAGCTCGCTCAAGAGTTTGAGCTCTGAGCAACAGCGGTTCGAGTCCAGCCCGAGCTGAGCAGTTGCTGAGCTGCCAACAGGTAGCAGGATGGCTCAGCTTAAGAAAAAAAAAAAATTTAGGAGATAAAAATAAGTTTCAAAAGAAAAAATACCCGTGAGGGCCAGCCGAGTGGCGCATTGGTTAAGAGCTGGCTTGGGATGCCAGAGGACCCTGGTTCGGATCCCACATATGAGGGCCAGTGACACTGCCCTCTACAGCTAAGATGCTGAACAACAGCTCAACCTGGAGCTGGGCTGCCGTGAGTCGCCGGCGACGGCGTAGGCTGCAGCCCCTGTGGCAGTGGGTTGCCATGGGCTACCGTGTGTAGCCAGCAGCCAGCAGCCGCAGTGAGCAGCCGTCCAGAAGCCGGCGACTGATCTGCCTCGCCTGGGAAGAGCGCAATGATGGTGCCAACTTGGGCCAGTGAAGCAACGTCCTCCACAACTAGACTAAAGAACAAAATGACAGCAACTTGTCTGATCCCCTTCCCCCAATTCCCCAGTGCTGTTCCCATCCCCCAATTCCCCAATAAAAATCTTAAAAAAAAAATACCGGTGATCTCTGCAGATGAGGTGCACTTTGGACCCAGCAACTCTGGCCACAGACATGGGTCAGCTGTGCAGGGAAGAGCCACATGAGTAAACACAAAGTTTGCCTTCCGTGTGGGCTTCCTGTCAGGCCTCAGGGCTTTCCCTGCAGATGAGGAGCTGAGCTGAGTTTCTTTAGAAGCTCATAGAGATTAAGTCTTTCCTCTGTTTGAAACTCTCCAGGGGCTCCCACACCGCAGGTCCTTGGGTGGGTGTGTGGCTTGGCTTACAAGGTCCTCTGTAAACTGGGTCCTCCCCATTCCCCTCTCCCTCCTCCCCATCTGGTGAAATAAACATGAAAGATAATGCTTTTGTGTGTAAAGGCCTATTATAAGGTAATGAGGGATTCTTGGCCTTGCTGGAGCTCTTGATCCTCAGAAGGCTGAGTTCAGCCTGACCAGGACTTCCTGGGGTGGCCTGGACCCACACTCTCCCTCGGAGCCCTGGGAACTAATGTATGCACCAGAAAGCATGTCTGCTTCCCAAGCACTTTCCCCTCAGATGCGAAGCCGGCTGGCCCAGGAGCGAAGCATGAAGCTGGACGCTTTCCAGCGTGTTGAAGAGCTACAAAGTCAGCTTAATGACGCCACAGGATCCTCTGTCCAGATGAGCTCACCAGGTGGTAAGCAGGCGCCCTGCTCTGGCTCGAACAAGCTCCAAGGGCCCGGGTCTGAGTTGAAGGAGGGTCTCAGGGACTGTCCATAACAACCCAGGGGGTACTGAGTGGGTGCGCCATGATGTTTGTTGAATGAATAAATGATACATGAATGAATAAACCTTAATCCTGATTTGCAGTCAGAACTTTCTCCTTGGAGTACTGCCATCCTATACTAAAAGGTTTCAATCATAAAAACTGGTCCCAGGATTGTCTAATATACCACTTAAGGAACATTGGGTACTTCACTGGATTTGAAGCATCTCGATGTCTTGGGACATTAATGGCCACATTTCTCAGATGTTATTCATAAAGTCCATTATGATTCTTGGGTGCTGAGAGCTTGAGTTTTATGGAAATAGCAATTAAAACAGCCTTCTGAGCTATGCAGTATACTAGCAGCATGGAACTGACGCCAGACCTCAGTGTGTCTCTAAAGTAGCTTCCTCCCTTATAGGATGAGGACTAAATAAACTAAGCTCTCTTCTAGCTCTGACTAAGGAAAACATCACCAAATATCTAACCATGAGTAGCCTGTTATTAAGATCAGCCAAGCTTCTTCTTTGTGATCTGCAGTGTTAGCCTGCTGATTGAGTGTGGTGCCTTTGGAGTAAGACAGCCAAGGTTCCAAAACTTCTGGTGATGTGACCTTAGATAGGCTAATTAGTCTCTACATAAAATGGGAATATCCACCTCAAAGGCATATCCTGAGTTTAAATGAAATAATGCATGTCTGCCACATAGTATAGTAGTACTAACTGTACAAATGCTACTTTCGTATGTGTGTTGTACTTTATCTGTGTTTCCTTTTGGCTACATACCAGTGTGAATTATATGAAAAAACACAGCCTTTCAGAAGCAGAAAGATCAGTTTCAAAGATCAGGCAGATGAAGATCAAGTTACTTTGGGTTTACCAAGAACAGAGCTAGGCTTGTCCGTAAAGCCCAGGGGCCCTCTTCCCTGCCTGCCGCTTGGTCCCTGACAGCAGGGCTGGCGTCCCTTGCCCCAGCTGCCCAGGTCCGTAGAGGAAGACTGTCAAGAGCACTCAAGGGCCCTATTTTGACCACTGACCCTCTCCACGTGCTCTGGGATGTTTCTGTCTCTCCCTCTCTTCTCTGCCTCCAGCCTAGCCAAGCATCTTTTTAATTCCTTTCTGGGTTCCTGTGTCCTATCAAGTTGTCATCCATGTTCTTCAGCACCTGCACAATTATGAAGCAGAACCAGAGTGGGGCATGAGGAATGTGGGGGTGCCCCAAATCCCAGGATTGTGGCAGGAGTGAAAGAGAAGCTGCTTTCCCAGGAAGAAGAGGTAGAAGTCACTCCCCAGCCTTGGTCTCCATCTGTCCCCCTCTGCAACAACAAGAGTGGGGTTTGCTAAGGACTTTCCGTATGTAGATTCATTACAGGGGAGGGACTGGGTCATACCTATTTAGTACCCAGCACTTTAAGGGGACAGGCAGATATCACCTACACTATTAGTGTTAAGGGATAAAAGTCAGCCATTCCCACTCCTTGTTCAGCTGTTGTCCAATAGGATGAGTGAGGCGACCCAGGTCTTTCCTTCCTATGGGGGCGGTAGCAGCAGCCTCCCTGCTCCCCACATCAGAAGCATCAGAGGCAGAGGCAGAGTGAAGGGGCATGCTCTCCTTACTTGGCATGAGCATGGATTCCCCTAGGATCTTTCAACTCATGAGAAGCTATAATTTGTTCTAGTGCTATTATTCTCAAAATGCTTCAGGAAAAAAAATAAAATCAACAGGCTCACAAAACCGTGAAATATTCAGAAGTGGACTGGCTTAAGTTAGTTTGATCAAGGTTTAAACTAGTTCATGAGGATTGGTTTCTCTCTCCATCTCTGGGCTCTGAGAATGCTGGAAGCAGAGAGGAAGTGGGGCCCCGTGGGAAGCAAGATGGCCGCCACCGTAGCTCCCATCACTCTGTTCAAGCTCCAGCGGCAGGAGTCGGGGGTGAAGATGGGACAGTTAAATAGAATAAGGCTCTGACTGGGCTAACCCGTGTCGTGGGCCCAATTTTGAATAAATTACCTAAGACAGAAACCAAGATGCCTGGTGGGCTTAGGCTCAGCTCAATCAGTTCTTCCCTGGAGCTGAGGGTGGGGTCAACTCTCTCCTCCTCTTTACAGCAACTATTTTAAATATTCCTGGTCTCTTCAAGACCTTCAGATACTGTCCTCCTCCCCCAAACACATCACCTCCCATTTCACAAACCAATTAAAAGCCATCAGATGAGAACTCCCTCTACTTCTTGTTCCCAGCTTACCTACATCGATACACCACTGGTTCTCCTTCCCTCCTGTTGAAATGAAAAAGGTGCCCTTTTCCTCCCCGGGTCAATCCTGGTGCACAAGATCCTGTGTGCGCCTACCTTCTCAGGGGCCTGAAACTAATCTTTATCTGCTTTCTCTCTACACACTCATATTTCCCACCCATCTATTCTTCTAATCTCCTAACCAACAATTATCTATTGAGCACGTATATGCCAGGATCATAAAATCCACTGTAAAATAAAATTAACACCTATCCAGTTACTTGAGCCAGAAATCTGGAAGCTGCTTTTTTCTCACCCTACAAATCCAGTTAACTACCAAGTCCTATTGATTTGAATATATCTCAGTCTGTCCATTCCTGCCCACAATAGTCCAAATCACCCATCATGTCTTTCTCTTTCAATTGGTCATGTGACCCTCAGACAAAAGACTCCATCAAGGTTTTGACATTTTTTACTCAAAATTAATGAAGCTGGGTTATAGGTCCGTTTTAAGCTTTAAAACTTCATGAATTAAACCTAGGTCTGTACATCGCAACCAGAGATAAAATTTAATATTTTTAACATTATAGGCCTTATATCCCGGATTCGATACTCTCTAAATTCTGCTTCCACATCATCCAGATACTTCCAGCAACACCTTTTAAAGACTAATCTTATGGACAATAAAATAACAAGAAGGATTCAAAGGCCAAAGACTGTACGTAATAATAAATTTGAATATATATGAAACATTAAAATTGTATATATGAAATGATGGTTTTAGGGTCACTTCATACTTACATTTAAAAATTACATATCAGAATCTTATCTAAGTGCTTGGGTCTGGATAATAAAATTCTGCCTTTCTCACAAAGGGAATTTGTCATGAATTGTTGCTGTATCAGTGTTTATGGAGGGAAAGAGGGGCCAGGGCTACATACTCTGCCATCTTGTTGACATCATTCCTCAATAATAAAATTCTGATATCTGATATTGAAACAATTAAGCCCAAAAGCACCTACTCAATTACAGCTCAATAAATGGGTGTGGAAGTCAGTATCCACAGCTTGCTATGTTCTGTCTCTGATTTTTTTTTTTCCACTCATCTACAATAATCAACCAGAAGCATCAGATTCCTTATCTGAGTTCCCTGGCAGAGTAGAGTTTCAGAAGTCAATTTAAAACACGTGAGAAAGAAATTCTTGAAATGAAGATTAGCCTGAGGTATATAGCATGTTGGCAGATGAGAGGGGGGTTAAAGGGCTGGATGAAATAGGTGAAGGGATTAAGAAGCACTAATAGGCAGTTACAAAATAGTTATGGGGATGTAAAGTACAGCATAGGAAATATCGTCAATAATATCATAATAAATATGTATGGTGTCAGATGGGTACTAGACTTTTGGGGGGGATCACTTTGTCAGTTTCATAAATGTCTAACCACTGTGCTGAACACCTGAAACTAATGTAATATTGAACATCAACTGTAATTGAAAAATAAAAATAAATTTAAAAAAGAATACCTCCTCTCTTACCTTGAGAAAAATTAAGAGAAAAAGATTTCATCATTCTTTCAGAGGAAATATGCCATTCTAAGGCCTCTTTTGAAGGTGTAATTCTGCAGCGGATGATTTAATTATTGGAACAAAAGTTTGTTGCAGTATTTCTAAACATGCAGTTAAGAGCAATACACAGAGAGAAAAGCAACAGGTCAGGAACATAACCAATTGAGATCCTTGACCAAGTAGGGGGCCATATTTGTATTAATGCCTGCCATTTGCTTGAGTCATCAATCTCTGTGAAGTCATCTTTTGCCCAAATGTGAAATTCTAGTATATGTCTTTCTGAAAAAACCTTTTCCAAAAGGAAGCAACATTCAGTTGGTGTTCGTGGGACTGCAAGGGTTTTTAAGATTCACTCCATCCCCGTTTTACTCCCAAAAGTAAATGTTCTTACCATGAGGGAGGTTGGTGAACACAACTCTTATGATTGAGGTTACAAAGTAGCTAAATGCATTAGTGGAGATCCACTATATTTGAGAGATTTGAAAGGGTGTTGGTCTAAAGCTAATTATGGGACATAACCCTAGTAAATAAATAAATCCTAATAATTAAGAAAGTTTCTTGTGGGCCCCTGGTTTGTGTGCAGTATAGAGACCCCACAAAAAAAATCTAAAATCCAGAAAAGGAAAAAAATTAGTTGCAGGCTCTTCAAATATAAGGTCTGACTTCTTAAGCAAGGTCTATGAGACAAGTCAGATAAATACAGACTACAGAGGAATTTATACATGGCTGGAATGTAAGAACACCGATGATGTTCTAAAATAAATAAATAAATAAATAAATAAATAATAGGGCCGGACAAGTGGCTCAGCTGGTTAAGAGCACGACCTCTGAGCAACAGGGTTGCAGGTTCGATTCCCACATGGGCCAGTGAGTTGCACTGGAGCTGAGCTGCTGCTGAGATGGTGAGCGCATGCTCTTAGCAGCAAGGTTGCTGATTCAACTCCCACATGGGATGGTGGACTATGCCCCCCTGCAACTAGATTGAAAGTGGCGACTGGACTTGGAGCTGGGCTTACGCCCTTCACAACTAAGATTGAAGGACAACTTGACTTGGAGCTGATGGGTCCTGGAAAAACACAATGTTTCCCTTCCCCAATTCCCCAACACTGTTCTCCCAAATAAAAATCTTTAAATAAATAAATAAATAGCACTGCACTTACAAAAATGATAAAATATTAAGGAATTTTTTAGATGACTCCAAATATGGGATATCTTTTCTTCCTTAGCAAGACATGGCTTTCCACTGATGGATTCATTCTTGACCAGTTCCCTTTATGACAAGTGGCAAAATATGTACAAGGCACACTAAATGGGCTAACCCAGACTGAATCAGTAATCTTGGTCTCATTAGTAATAGTGGCTTTTAATGATGCTGTAACACAAATTATTCACCATCTTCCTTAAAAGCTTCAGTATCTACATAATACTTATATTGTAGGTACCTATTAAACACCAAAAAAGGACTGATGATGGCTTCCTACCCAATATGGCAGAAAATGTTCAACTTTCAGCTTTTCAAGTTCCAACAGCTCCATCCAGAATCTCACTTTGACCTGACTGGTAATCATATATCCTTTTACAAGTTTTATTTCTATAAGCATTTAAATGAATAAAAATGACTCTAAACTCCATTAAATCTTTTATTTAATTTCTATTATCAGTACTGTGTGAAGATAGTGTGGAAGGGCTGAGATCACCTTGACTATCCCCAGGTGAAGTAGGATTTGGCCTGAGATTTTGAAACCTAAGTCAATTTGCATTTCTACAACCTAGGTCTCTCAGTCTGGGTTCTAGAGTTACTGATTATTAGGTGGAATAGCCAGGAGAGGGGGCATTGCTGCTAAGTAGTATTTACTAAAAGTGGAAAACTAAAACAGAGATTAATACCAATAAACTTCAAAGCACTTATTTCTATTTGTTTCACTTAAGAGCACCATCCTTTCTTCACAGCCTTTTTCTTCTTCCTACAAATTCCAAAACCCTCTACAGACTCTTGGGAAGTTGCAATCCAGGTCTTTTTTTTGTTCAGACAAGAAAATCTATCTTGAGTAAAGTAATAAATAACTACATAATGTAATAGAATACACCAGAAAAACATATTTACATACATAAATATGATATACATACATATGATTTATGTAGTTTTTCAAGTTGAGAAGATTGAGTTTATTTGAAGAACATTAAATGATCACCATATGCAGTGAATTGAGTGGATTAAAGATCTACATGCACACACACGTGCACATGCACAGACACACATACAAACTTATTTCTGAAATGGAGCAAAAAAAAATGCTAAAGGAAGATGAATGACTTTGATATCAAAATGAAAAATTTAACGTGACAAAGCATGGTACCAGTTATCAATTTATGGCCATTCAGCTCCAGATTTATCCTTAATGGTCTGCTGTGAAATAAACAAATCTGGACCTCGTAAGTAGTTCTTTGCCAAATGGCAAAATGTTATGCTTTGTCAGTAGAGGTGCTGGAGGGACCCTGGATGTGGTCACAATGGAGGCAAGGACTATCTCTGGAACATAGGATTCACCAGGTGCTCGTATTCTTCCACACCCGTAGTAAAGGTGAACAAGAAACCACAACAACCAAAAGGTAGGACAGTTGGAGGACTCAGACCCTTCGGTAATGGATATTTGGATCACTCCATCAGGCAAAGAACCCTGACCAGCTGAGGTTCTGACCAAGGGCAAAAGAAGTACTAAGTAGTGGAAGGTCATAAATTTACAGAAACAAGGGCTTTGTGCTTTGAATCTACCCGTTATTGCCTGCTCCACCCATTATTAGTGAAAATGGAGCTGGACCACATGAATGGTTCTTTGCTAGGTGGTATGTTTTGTCAGCTGAGGGTACTGGAGGGATTTCTTTTCCTGGTTCTGGGCAAATTCCCAGTGCCCAGCTCTAGCAGTGCACATAGCTTAGCAGTGGGGTGTCACTGGTGTGGTACCTCCTATGCATGGTTTACCCTGCACACCCTTGGATGGCTTCACAGATTACACCGGTGTAACTTCCCTGTGGATGGCGGCCCTGGCATCATCTCAAATGGATTTGCAGCTCCCACAAACTTCATCCAGAGAGCCAAGGCTGTATCCTCTCTAATCATTTCTGGAATTCAACTTGAGGGAGAACAGATAGTGACCACTTGTTGTATTTAAGCCTGTATTCTTTAGAGTCCTTTACTGCTTTGCAAATTTTTATTTCTTAAATTACAGATACTGTGTCCCATCACTCCAATCCACTCTTACAGTTAATACTTTGTCAAACTTTTCCTGTTCATATTGTGAGGCTTTTGTCTCCTGTTCTCTCTCTCTCACACACAGACACCATAATGAAAGACAAAGACTTCAAGAAAATATTGATTAAAGAAAATCCATGGACCATGGATTAACATTCAGTATAAGATTAAAAAAAAACCACCCGTATTGTTGAGAAAAACAGAAAATTCAGAGGAAGTACAAATTAATGATAGTAACCAGGTAAAAAATTTTACTTGCCAGAGTATTAAAATTTAACTTTGCCAATATCTGGTGGTAAGGATATAGAAAACATTGTGACATCATACTAGTGGGAATTGTAAGGCAATCTTAGTGTGTTAAAATTTTCCAAGTGGGAACCCTATGACGCACGCAGCCTTGCAATTGTGTTTACGCTAGAGAAATATTCACACATAAACAATGTGGCAGGTACAAAGATATTCTCTGCAAAACTGTAAGAACTAAAAATTGCAAACAGCCAGATATAGCTACATACACTAACTTGGAAAGATCTCCAAGTAGTTTTAGTGAAAAAAAAGTTTCAGGATGTCAAAATAAAAAAAACACATTTATATATTTTCTAAGGGTACATACTGTCATGTGTATATAAATTGTTGGGAAGGGGGGAGTTTTAACACCAAACTAGTTCCAGATTACTTCTGGAAAGTGGAGGAGGGCAAACAAGGAGAAGAGACAGGATGGTCAAAGGAGACTTGTATCTTATCTCTAATGGTTTATGCAGGTGAAGGTGGGGAGGAGTAAGAATGTGTAGTCATGTATTTGAACAATTAAAAATTAAGATTTAAAAATCCTCATCTTGAACTTTTTCTTCTGGCCAAGATTAAATAAAAGGCTGGATTTACCTTGAAACAACTGAAAAACTGCACAAAATGCCATGAAACAGTATTTTTCAGTACACTGGTTTTCAGGCAGACAGGAAACTATTAACCTAGCTTACTGTATTGAATTTCTAAGCCATGATTCTGGGAGGGGAAACCCAGGCTGAGCCTACTCGACTTGAGTTGAGGAGATATAACTGAAAGTCAAGGAAGATGAAGGCAGCTAGAGTTTCCAGGACAGAGGACCAAGGAGGAGCAAGACAAGGAAAAGAGGAACTCCAGAGATCTGCAGAGGCTGCTCCTCCAGTACCTAGCACACACACGTGAGGCAAAATACCCAACGTTGGGGAATGGTTTAGAGGCAACAGTCCCTGGAGTCCACACAAAGCTAGAATTAGAGCCTGCTCCCACTAGCCCAGGCTAGAAAGCTTCATAATCCATAGGGCAATGGATACTCAGAAGGGTCTTGCCTCAAAACTAGAGAACAATGGGCCCTAGAACAAATGCTCTGGCTCTGCTCTCGCCTAACGAAGATCTGAAAGGATCAAACTGTTTTCAAGTACGTATGTCCCAGAGCAAAAAATAACCAGCACCCAAGTTAAAATTTACATCTGGTATGCAATAAGAAATTACCAAGTATGCAAAGAAATAGGAAAATACGACCCATAATAAGCAAAAAACCCCCACAACAACAAAAAACAAAACTGAATTAGCAGACATGGGCATTAAAAATTATCCTGTATGTTAAAAAACTAAGACTGAATATGTAGACATAAAAACACCCAAAGTAAATTTCCAGAAATGAAGACATCTGAAATGAAAAACACATTGGATAACATTAACAAATAGATTAGACGTAGCATTAGCATTGAACTCAGAGACAATAATTTGACATGAAACAGAAATTTTTTAAAAAACCCAAATGGTGCATGGGTGAGCTGTGGGTTAACTTCTAGCAGCCTGTGTAGAGTCCCTACCAGAGAGAAAGGAGGACAAAAAAATATTTGAATAAGGCTGAAATTTTTCCAGATTTGATGAAAACCATACATCCAAGAAACTCAACGAACCCCAAGCACAAGCAACAAAACACAGCAATCATAATTGCTCAAAACCAGTGATAAAGAGAAAAATCTTAAAAGGCAAGAGAGGAAAAAAAGACGTTATGTACAGAGGAACAAAAGACAAAGGTGAAAGATTTTTCATAGAAAACAATGTGAGAAGACAGTGGACCAACATCATTAAAGTGCTGAAAGCAAAAAAAGTCAACCTAGAATTCTATATCCAATAAAAACATCTTCCAAAAACAAAGGCAGGCACAAAAAGTCAACAAATTCATCAATATCTGTACCTTCATAACTAGAAATGTTAAAAGTTAAAGGACATTCTATAGGCAGACGGTACGTAAATACCGGTAGTAAAATAATGGAGAGCATAAGAAATGGTAATTATTATATATGGGTGTTAAGTACGCAGGACTTTATTATTTAAAGAAACTATTTTGAACCCCATTCTTTTCAAAATAATTTGTCTCTAGCAACATTTAGGAGTCTTTGAGCTTGGCAGTTTTATATTTACCAAACTTGACCATATATAAGGCTAATATGAAACCAAAAGTTCTTAATTTCTATGGCAAAATTACTAAGTCCACTCTACTGGGTTTTAAGGCTTATAGGGGAGTATTCTCTTCTTAGTCCAAATTCTGTGATTTAATATAATCCTAGTCAAAACATGGACCTAAAGTACCAGATTTCACATACTACCAGGTGGCTTAGAACTAGATATTTATACCAAATACATACTCTAAACAGAAGCCCAATTTTACTTTACATGCAATCTGAACTAAAAATGCAGTTACAAGCCCTTCAGATTTATAACAAATGTCGTTTCATCAGTTTGTGATTTGGTAGAGCCTAAGTGAGGAAGACCAACTTGCATGTCACTCACATAGGCATACCAAGTCCTCTCTCCAACTATCATTTCTAAAGCTCTGTTCTCCACTGACAAATTATGTACCTTAGTTACTGTCTTTTGATCTTGGGGAACAATAAAAATTGAGTAGACAATCCATCCCGAAATAGACTGATACGGTAAATTCACTAGCATTAAATATCATAATCAAAAAGCAAAAACATACTTCAGTTAATAAAAAAGAACAGACTGATTCAATAAACATGTAGATTTATTTTAAATCAGTGATACATGATACAGATTGGTTTTGCAGTTTTTAATGAACTGAAATAGAAATTTCTAAATACAGCAGTGTCTGCCTGTGCAACAAATATCTTAAGGTAAAATAAGGTATTTTGATAGAGCTACATCTGCATGAACAAATCAGATGAAAAATCTGAAAAGGTTTCTATATACCTTCTGGATTAAAAAAACCCAAAAATTATTAATGGCTCCAGATAATAAACAGCTAAAGGAAAGGGAGGGAAGGCCGTGAGTTCTGTTGTAAGAGCTCTTCTCACAAAATCTAACTAGTTTCACATGATTTTGTCGTTAAATAGTATTCAAAATTACAGAAGATGAGGCTTCATCAGCTACATTTTCACAAAAATTGCTGTGTTGACATTAACTTGTGACAAAGTATTCACATTTAGGTAAATGACAATTATGCCCCTGTAGTTAATTTTTGCCATTTTGGGAGGAATGAAATTCTGCATACTTTCAAATGAATCTTGTATGTTAATAGCACTCACTAAAATCTAACAGCCATGGCACCGTAATAAAAATTTTTTGTGAGGTACCTAGATTACTACTCAAGAAAACACAAAAATGTGAAGTAAACCGACCTTTTCCCAAAAACCTTTGAAGCCAGAGATTTTAAACAATTAAGGCACTTGAAAACATTAGGTGTATGTACAAATGTGCAAGTAAAACAAACTTGAGCTGTACCAGCAAGTAACCAAAAAAACAGTAAATCTTCATTTTGAGAACCTTTAATTATCTAAATGCAAGGAATTTTTGGCTTATGAAATTGACTGAAGCAACCTGTCATTACCTATTATAATATTGAAAACAAAGGGCTAAACTCAGCCACTATAGGCTAAAGAAACTAAAACAAAACGAAAAAACTTTATTGATCTAGAAAAGCAAGGGCTCATTTTAAACTAATTTAAGCCTCTGAAACTACTCCAATGTGTCAAAGGCAAGAAGTACCCCTCTAAAACTAGGTAAACTAACAAAATAAAAGGACGCGTGCTTATTATACTACGAGAATTGAAACTAAGAAGAAAGGATGGGAGAGGAGAAAGAAAAAGAGAAAAGTACAATCTGTCTATCCAGGGCAATCTATCATCATTAAACATCTACCGTAATCTGATCAACCAAAAATCCTTAAGTTTCCTGAAATTACATTGGTCACATTTACAGTCTCAAAACTTAAAATGACTGTCTCACTTCAACAGTGAGTAAATGATTCTAAAACAACTTATTTCCTTCTTGCCTCATGAAAGAAGTTACTTTTCAAGAAAGCGTGGCAGAAATCCTTTTGAGGTACAACAGTGTTAGGGTTATTTTTGAAGTACAAGGGAAGATATAATTAAACCAATTTTATCTTTTTTTTTTTTTTAACAGCCGTAAGAAAATTGTTGGGAGGTTCAAAATCCGAAGGCTTTCAACTTTTTTAACATCCTTTAGCTTAAGTTACTCAGGTCTAAAATAAAATAGGTAAGTTTTCAATTAAATATTAACAGTTTGTTATCTAAAAGCAAGTTTACCACTGCTCACATCAACAGTTACATCCTCAGACCAAACTTTTACCTTCCTAAATGTAAAACGACAAATCAAACATTTTAAGTTACAGTGTACCTTTCAGTCTGTCTTTTAAGGCACTGTTCTTTATTTTCTCAATGATATAAGGTGCTTTACAAGTATTAACAATAACCTGCTATACTTGAACAGTTTGTATCCTTTCATTTCTTTAAATCTGGAATGTAATTCCCTGTGTGGCATCTTATTTCTAATGTAGAAAAAAATAACTGTTATCAAGCACAATATTTTACTCTAAGGATATAGTTTACTCTTAGGATAGTAAATTTAAAAATTTATTCCACTTTTGAAATGATAGCCCCAAATCCATCTAATTGATGCTCATTTGGCACATTCTTCTCAATTATGGTCACTAAACTACATCCTGAGTTAGGATGAAAATAATGCAGCTTTCAGGCTTTAAAATGACTAAATTTAAACTGCCAAAAGAGTCGTGAGGTTTTCTGTGCAGGACAATGTTTTCCATCACTTATAGTTACATTTGGCATGTCAACAAAAAAGAACATAATCCCACAGCAGCAGCCATTTAAAATAAAAGAAGACAGCCACAAGGATTCATGCAGAGTAATTTAAATATTCCTGTTGAGCAAAATGATTTAACTGATTTTTCTTCAAGGATGATGCTCCAAAATATCCTATATGCATCCTTTGAAAATTTAAAGATCCTGGAATAGCGTCTTCCATGTGGGACATCTTGAAAGATAGCATTTTGGTTTCAGTGAGTTATACGCCAGTCCTTGTTAATTTAATGGGTCTGTTTACAGAGTGTGGTAGTTTCGTTCTTTTGATTTGCAGAATTTATAGAGAAAGAAAATTACTGCCTGCACACCCAAGACAAGGACAATTCCTCCAATGAAACTGGCTGCATCAAAGGTAGACTTCCGCATAGGTTGTGAAGTTGGACTTAAAGTGGTATTAGTTGTACCTGTTAAGATAGAAGAAATAATGATAAGTTTCATGGATCCTCTTTATAATTTCAAGACCAACCTGAGCTCCTATTTTGCCAAGTGTTAAATTCTATAAAGTATTTCCTCTCGAGTCAAATCTTTACAGTTAGAATTTATCTCTAATTGAGGAAGACAATTAATTATAAATCCCATTTTTCATTCCATCCAGTGATATCAAGTGGTAAATGCTGCCATACAATTTCAAATACGAAAACGACAGAAAAAGACTTTCTTGGTATATAAATTTTGCCCTGGGAACATCTGAAGTACTTTTTCAATGTTCAATTCTTCAGACTATACATTTTTATTTAATTGCTAGAGTAAATATTAATATTTGTGTTGAAAATTCATATAACTTTTGAATGTAAAAAATAAATTTACAAATAAATTTGGTTGCAATATTTGACATTACAAAAATAATCTTAAGCATCTGCAATTTATAATTCCAACAAGCAAAATAACTTGTTATTAAAGGTATCTTAAATCTTACTCTGCAAATTTTACATTATGAGAAAGTATTACCAAGTCATGAGAGAAAAAAAGCACAAAAATTTTAATTCCTTTTCAGGGAGTAAAATGTTTCAAGAGGAAACAAAACAAAAATTCCTTTCAGGGAGTAAAACATTTCAAATGGAGCACCATCCACTTTAATAAAAAATTTTTCATACTTAGAAGAAATTGTACTCTTTCTTAAACAGAATATCAAATAAACACTAGTTCTGGTGGCTGTACATAGGTTGGCCTGCTTTAAAATTAATTACAACTGTTCTGTATTTCTTCTTGTGAAGACAAAATGGCTTCATTGAAACTGAGAGAAAGGCAGAACAAGAATGAAGCCAAAAGAATCCAAAAATAATGAAAGGTTCGTCAGAATCAAAACAACAGTATTTTAAATATGAATAGAGGGAAGGGTTCCTAACCTGTGTACCTACTATGTCCTGTGGCATAACCTAAATATAACTTAGTTTATAACATGTCAAATCATTAATAAAAAGTTAACTTTCACATGCACTTTCAAGAGTTATAAAGGAATATAAGCCATGGTAAGAAATATGGCCAAGGTGCACATTTAGTAGTGATCTGGCTCTTTAGGGTTTCTCAGTAAAAAGGATTGCTACATTATCTTCACTCAAATTACCATGGTCTTTAAGTTGTAAGAAATTAGATTTCACCTACAAATTGTACTAACAGGGTTCTGGGAAAACATTACCATTTAATTCTAATGTATCATGCCCAATGAGATTATACATTAAAAAACTAGAAGAGGACTCTCAGCAAACTCATCATTATTGATTTAACAGCCTACTATTTTGGTCCTCTAAATATAAGAGATGAGTTGCAGTTCATAACCATTCATGAATAAAATTCATGCAGTTCATGAGTAAAACTGGAAAAGGATGGCAGAAATAGTAAAAGGCAACAGTACACACACATCCTACCCTCAGTGTTAGTATAAAAAACCTCAATTACCTGGAACAACAGTTGTGGGAGAGGAAGGCATAGTTGTGGTTTTAGCTGGAATGTAAACAAAATGTATTAAAAACTTTAATTTCTAAACTTTCCAGTTACCTAGCATGTATCTTTTAAAATAATGCCACAAACTTTTTAGAGAATAAAGGTCAAATTTCAGTTACTGGTTCACTAACATACCTACACATCCAGAATACTAGCTTTTAAATGTATTTTAAAACATTAAGCAATCATAAAATTCTATCTATGTTAACATTTATGTGTAAAATCAATGTATACATTTGGATCAAGTTTGCAAAAAGACACACAGAAAGGCAATAATCAGTTTAGGTGAGGGTACTATATAGGTTCTTTATAATACTGCTTCTAAGACAAAAACTATTAAAGAGTCAAGGTAAGAAACAAGTGCAGCTCAGTATTTCTTACACAGGTATCATATATGCTTATCTTCTTCATTTCAGGAGGTTGGCAAAGTATTCTTAAAGTGGCAGAAAGTTAAGTATTTTAGGCTTTGTGCACTGTGTAGTGCAAAAGTAGCCAGACAACATGCAAATGAGTGGGCATGGTTGTGTTTCAATAAAATTTTATTTGTAAGAACAGGTGCCCTGGGGCCATAGTTCCCCCAGTGTAGATGAAAAGAGCCTAAGGGTAAACTCTAGTCTACCCTACTACATGAGCTCAAGTAACTATCTGATGATGCCTCTAAAGAAAGATACACTCATGGGAAGATTAGATTGAATATAACATTTTAGAAATTGAAGCACTACACTAAGAGACTTCTGTTAGTATTGATACTATTGATGGACACTAAAAAATGATATGTTAATAACACTGACAGGTACCTTCACGTACCTTTATATCCTTTTCTTTCTCACTGCCATACACCTTTTACCCACCCTGTTCTAGGTTGGACAGTTAGGTCACCTCTCATTTCTCCATGCTATGAACGTCTTACAGGGAAATATTGTTTCATTTCTGATAGGACTGATTCCTATACAGAATTCCCAGATTAGAGGGCATGATTATTTTAAGATTTATAATCCCTTTCAAGTTTTTGTTGCCTATACATTCTGCGTAGCTGCAAAAAAAATACACTTTGCAAATTAAACATATATCAAATTATTCTTCAATCTTACATTACTAATTTTGCCTGACAATTCAGGGGGGAAAATTCACAAATTTGCTATTTGATTCTCACTCCCCACCGTCTGAACATAGAAACTAATTATGTTTTTGTAAATGGGCAAAACATTTACATACTTTTACTTTTCACCAAAGTATTACATTAACAAAGTTTTCAAAATCAGGCACTACTTTGGAAATATACTTCCACTGACCTACTATATGTTCCTTTCATTTAAAAAAATAATTCATGGGTTATAAAAGCTGCTATTGGTGATAGAAAATTTAGGAAACACAGTAAAGACATTTAAGTAATCCCATCACTCTAACATATTTTTTCCTGCCAGCCATTTTTCTAGGCATGTATATAACAAAAAAGTTGTACATAGTATCTCCTTAGATATCTCGTTTTAAAAATCTTAATTCAATGGAATTGTAATAGATAAGCATGATATCGGGGGTGGGAGGGCAGTGGATGGGGGGAGGGGGGTTGTTACTTTGTGAGGGTGAAAAGGGT